CCCCCCCCCCCCCCCCCCCCCTCGACCCCATCTTCTAGGTATGTCTTCTGAATAACGTAAGTTGCAGCTACTTGCAACCTTGAAGCTCTACTCCATCGCCGATGTAAGATCCCACATTGACCAACGGAGATGAGTGATGTGCCTTATATATACATGCTCGCATCCATCTAGCACGAGGCCTTTTGGGAGCTCACTGGCTTCGGAGTCATGGGAACTCCGAAGTTAAGCAAGTTGGGGGCTAGAGCAATCCTAGGATGGGTGACCCACTGGGAAGTTGCTCGTGAGCTCCCAGAACCAAAACCATGAGGGCAAAGATGGGGGCCCAAAGCGGACAATATCGTGCTACGGCGGAGCCGGTCCTGGGATGTGACAATTTGGTATCAGAGCCACTCTGCCGTTTGATGCGAGTGTGCCGACAAGGACGTCGGACCCTTAAGGGGGGTGGATTGTAAGATCCCACATCGACCAACGGAGAGGGGGTGATGTGCCTTATATGTTCATGCCCGCATCCATCTAGCATGAGGCCTTTTGGGAGCTTACTGGCTTCAGAGTCATGGGAACTTCAAAGTTAAGCGAGTTGGGGGTTACAGCAATCCCAGGATGGGTGACCCACTAGGAAGTTGCTCGTGAGCTCCCAGAAACAAAACTGTGAGGGTAGAGAGGGGGGCCCAAAGCGGACAATATTGTGCTACGGCGGAGCCAGTCCCGGGATGTGACAGCCGACCTCCAATAGGTAGTCTTGATGGTCATTTTCTTAATCTCTGTGGGATTATGTGAAATTGGTTTTATTTTGACTGCTTGGGTTTCTGTGAAATTGGTTTTATTTTAATTAGTTTGGGTAATGTTTTTTGAATCTTCATGCTCATCCATCTGGGTTTTACCAAATGCATTTAGATTGCTCTGGATATGTGAATCTTGAAACTTGGGATTTTCCATTTTATGTAGTAGATTTGTATAGTCTGATTGTGATGAATCCTTGTTGTATTGCTGTGTTATTGCTGTTGTATTGCTGTTATATTGCTGTTGTATTGCCACTGTTTTTTCTGGTTATTGTGGTTGTATTGCAGTGATTTGGTCGTGGCTTCGAATGTGTTAATGAAATGTTGTTTTTTCATGGTCAGAAATGGAGACAATTGTTATTCTGGTTTGATACAATGGAAAATGGGTAACCTCAAAGAAGATGTGCAAATATGAAGGGGGTGACCCAAAAGGCTTAATAGTACCATAGACCATCACATTTACTAAACTGTTGGATCGTGTGCATCAGATTGGTAATACAAACAGCATGGAAGACAAGGTTTGCTTAAAGTTCTTAGTTTTGGTGGCCTAAAATGAGTGGAAGCACATAAAGATTGAGAACGATGATGATGTCAAATTTTGTATGAAGTACAATTGTGAGGTAACACCTTCAAAACTAGCTCCCTTACTGGTGAGTATAGAAGATAAAGGACTGACAAATGATGTAGTTGATAGTATGCATATGACGACAGATAGTAGTCGGATGGGTCGTTCTTCAGTTGCCATTGTTGAAAGCAATGAAATAACTCGGAATAATACAAACGTCGCTGATGTAGGAGGTGATGTTGGGACAGATTTTATAGACATGATTGATTTTAGCGAGGTGAAGGAGATGCATGGTGGTGATAATGGTACTGAAACAAATGAAGTGTCAGTGTACTTTGCCCCTCCTATTTTGGGCCGCTTGGACACATCAGCCCAATTGCCAATAATGCATTTAGGAGGAGAATCTGAACCCACTCGTGAACATTATTTGAGTGAAATGGGTAACCAGTACAATGTGGCCAATGTAAATGATGGAGAAGCATATTTGGACACAGAGTATTCACAAAGTGATTAGAATCGGAAAATTAAAGTTGGGCAAATTTTCTCTAGTAAGGGAGCCTTGTTGACCAAGTTACGGTTTACGGCATTGAGAGGCCACATTCAATTTAAGGTACAATTCTCTTGCATTAAGAGGTTGCTTGTGGTTTGTTGTCAACGTCCATGCCCATGGCGGGTCCGAGCATCGAGAATTGGAGAAAACAATTTCATGATTGTGAGGTGTACAACTATCCATGAATGTGATTTGAGGTTCGTAAATGACAACCATCGTCAAGCAACCGCAACACTTGTAGCTACTTCATTGAAAAGGAAGTTGAAGGATTGTCGGACAATATACACACCATGTGACATAATGAAAGATGTGAAACACAACTTTGGTTTGACCATTCATTATTCGAAAGCTTGAAAAGCGAGGGAGTTAGCTTTAATGTCCATTAGAGGATCAGCCGAGGAGGCATATTATATCCTTCCAGCCTATTGCTATGAATTGGAGCGTATGAATCCCAACACAAAGACACACATCCATACTGATGAGAACAATCACTTTGTGTAATTTTTTTTTTTATGGCAATTGGCGCATGTATTAGAGGGTTTCGTTCTTCCATGCGACTAGTGATAGCCATGGCTGCCACTCATTTAAAATCTAAGTACAAGAATGTTATGTTTATAGCAAATGCATTCGATGGTAATCGAAATATATATCCTCTTACTTTTGGGATCGGGGATTTGGAGACGGATGCATTATGGCATTACTTTTTCACTAAACTTCATGAAGCCATTGGTGTGTGTCCCAATCTTGTTATCATTTCTGATCGCAATGTTAGCATAGAGAATGTGTGGAATAAAGTTTTTCCAACAGCGCAACATGGCATATACTTTTATCATATAAAGGGGAACATGAAACACACTTGCAAGTTGAAAAAGCGTGATCAAATGCTGATGCACTTTGAGCAGGCTGCGAAATCTTATTCAATGGCTGAATTTGATTGTCATTTTTGCAAGATCAAGAGAAAGGAACATGTTGCTCAATATATTGAACATGCAGGGTTACACAAGTGGTCTAGAGCTCACATGGATAGACGCCGCTACAATGTAATGACAACAAATATTGTGAAGTCAATAAACTCAGTCCTTAGGTTTGTAAGGATGCTGCTAGTGGTTCATTTGATAGGGGAAATTATTAATCTCCTTATGAAATGGTTCACCGAACGTCGTGAGTTGGCTTTGAAATGCCCAACAACAACAACATTGTTCCCCAATTTTCGCGAGAATAAGTTGAGGAATAGGTCAGATGATGCTTCAAGAATGAATGCCGTTAAACTAAATAACGTACAATATAATGTTGTGGATGGTGATATGGATGACCTCGTACATTTGATGAACAACAGTTGTAGTTGTAGTAAGTTGCAGCTTGAGCAACTACCAAGCAAGCATGTAGTTATAGTTTGCCGCTTCTTGAAACTAAATGTATACTCCAAGGCTTCTCAGTATTACACTCGAAATACCTGGTTGGATGTTTATTCGCATAGCATCTACTCGGTACAGCCTCAAGGAATGTGGGTTATTCCTGAAGATGTCCGAATTCGAGTTGTGCTACCTCCCATGGCAAAGGTCATGCCAGGTAGACGGAAGAAGTTAAGAATTCCCTCGCAAGGAGAAGGCACCATTACAAGAAAGTGCTCATGGTGCGGTTCCACGGGCCACAAGAAAATCACCTGTAAAAACAATATTCCACTGCGTAATGTATCTTAGACAATATGATTTGTGTTGATTTGTTAGGTACTGTCAATTTGAATTTTATTTGTGGTGGGTTTGGTGGTATGTGGAATGTGAATTCTGTTAAATATGCTTAATTTTGGTAGCATTGCTATACAGCATGGTGTGTTCCCTATTTATATTGATAGTATCGTTATCGTATTGTAATTTTATTGCCTTAAGATTGTTATTATATTGTACTTTTATTGTACTGGCATTGCTATTGCAATGTAAACTGTGTAAGTACGAAATTAAAGGGCCTGAAATGTAACTTAAAATGGATCCACAACATTAAAGTCCTTACAATGCAATTAGTATGCAGTTACCGTGATACTCTTACTACACCTTCTTTTGTGATTACAAATTCAGACGATGCATGGGGCAAATGTGGGGCAAATACAAGGTGAAATGTCCTATGTGTTTGACTGGATATAGTTGCTGAAGGAGCATTGCGACTGTTAACCCTAACAAATTCCTCATGTCTTGCCAAGAACACCCTTGAATTGATGCAATATGCCCAAGCCAGTCCTAAAGCTGGACTCACCCTTTTGCCTGATGTATGCAAGCACTCCAAGTTTCCCAACCTCACCCCATTGATTCCATGATCTGGCCCAATAAAATCCACCCCTTGGTTGGTGACAACCACCGCCAGCCCAAACTTATTTGCTAAAGCCTTTAGTGTCCCGGATATCTAGAAAAATATTTCAGACTGGCGTTTCAAATCTGCCGATGTTGTTTCATACTGTGATCGGAACAATGCAGCAATGGAATCAATGACAATGAGCTTCACAGGTAACCGGGTGTGATCAATGGCAATAAATGCGTTTATGTCTCGAAGGACATGGATCAGTTGTTGTGCATCATGAACGCCATGAACATATATGTCTTCCAATGGGTCCAACCATATTAAGTTGGGGTATGATGCATGATAAAGGTTGGCTACTTGTTGCAATTGACAAAATGAGAAGCTGAATTTTGTAAATCTGTATTGGGAGGAGCCCCATATTCTGCCATGTGAGGGTGGGAGCTGAGCTCTTAGTTTGAGACAAAGTTGCGTCTACCGCTCTACCCTACCAATTCTGTTATGGAGTTGCAGGGTATCCCACCGCCCAAGCAGCCATCTAGTATTGGGCATCCGATAGATAATTTAGGAGTTGAAAGAGGAAGGAGCATTAGGTTTTGTGGTGTCATTTTTTGTAATTTATGGGGGGATGTGATGGTGGTGCAAGGCATGAATTGTATATATTGAACATGTGTAATGTAGGCCATATGTCTTTTAAGGGATGTATAAGTCAATCAAATGGTAGAGTCTGATGCAGTACCTACTGCAATGGGACCCTATTGTGACTGTATTGTGCTCTTATTGATATCATATTGCCATTATATGCATGCGTATTGTGGAGTTATTGCCGCTATAATCGTTTGAACTGGACAAGGATAAAGGAAAGTGTATACGCACAAATACAAAAAGAGGCATCATAATTCCATCAAATCCAATTTTGAAACTTACATAATACAAAAAGAGGCCACCTCATAGTTACATAATACAAAAAGAGGCCACCTCATAGTTCCATTTTACAGCCTGTTTCCACTACATTTTACAGTCTCTAAAGTCATATTAATGTGTCCAAAGTTTCCTGCTGTTGACACATTCGGAGTTGCATACTCTTCAATTGCGGCAACCGCGATCCATGAAATTCATGACCCCGCCCATAGTGATGTTGTCCTAGTTTCCTTCTGGATCCACTTGTTTTTGCTTCAATTGGGCCATTTCGTCAGATTCCTTGAATACCATAACTGCAGTGGTAGGGGCATTTTCAATTTTTGCTTTCATACCCTTTATTTGTAAGAGATGCATCCGAGCATGATAACGAGAGTGACTTGTGCGCCTTTTTATGACACCCCACCTAGCTTGGCCCTCCAAAATTTTTGACACTATGTCTGCATGGAATTTTTCCAAAACATGGTGTTGCCTTGACATTGTTGCAGGCTATGGACCAAGTCTACAGTCAGTGAATTTGCTGACTTGGCTGGTGTTTCAATCTCCCCTCCTTCAATAATTGAAAGCGTTGGGTTTGGTGTGAGGTTAGGGTCCATGATTTTGGGTATTTATTTTAGGTTGGTGTGGGACTTAATTAGGGAAAAATGGGACTTATCGTGATGTGAGTGAAATGAGTGGGGAAGGTAATGGCTGCAAGCATGAGTAAATGTGATGGAAGTTTTCTCTTCATGCAACTGTGAAGTTTAACATAGGGAGGTATTAATGAGCTGGAGTAAATGAGTGAGTAATTGGCGGGAGGGATTGAGGGGAGTAATTGGCGGGATTCACTGGTGGGAGTTATTGGGCAGGAGCTATTACCCACACTACTACAAAAACCACTTTGCGCGACGAATGATTTTTGGTCGCGCAAAGGAAAATTTCGTCGCGCACAGTTTGCGCGACGAAATTTTGGTCGCGCAAGTTCTGTCGCGCAAAACTCGTGGAGAAAGGGTTTGCGCGACGGCCAAAATTATTCGTCGCACAAAGCCACTTTGCGCGACGAAGGATAACAACTTGCGCGACGAATCATGACAACTTTGTGCGACGAAAATAACAACTTTGCGCGACGAATATTAATTACTTCGCGCGACGAATCCTGAAAACTTTGCGCGACGAATATTAATTACTTTACGCGACGAATATTATATACTTTGCGCGACGAAAGTTAATGTCGCGCAAGTGTACTTTGCGCGACGAATGTGAACGTCGCGCAAAGGTTTGCGCGACGAAATATTCATTTTTTTTAATTTTTGTTTTTTGAAAATTTTAAACTAAAATAAACTAATTTCATAGTTTGCGCGACGAAATATTTTGTCGCGCAAGGTTTTTGACATTTTTTTTTAATTATTTATCTTATATCAATTTCATTATATTAATTTTTTTAAATTTAATTTAATTGTATGATTTTATTTTTCTTAATTACTTTAATTTAAATTGACATATTCAAAATAAAATTACATAAGAAAAATAGTGGTCAAATTATCCAATATACATAATATTCAAAATGTACACTTAAATTAACAAAGTACAATAATAAAATCTACAAGCCTCTTATATCAAATCCTCAACTTTAGCCATCAAAGCCTCAACAATTCC